AGGCTCCATCAAAGAACAGGGTCCATCGAGATCCTTGTTCAGGTCCGTCTTATGGCCTGAATTCTTTACAGTTGTCTAATGTCATGATGTCTTTATCCGGGAACTCAAACTTCATGGACTGATATTCTTCTACAGCTTGATGAGCAAGATGATCAGCTAGCACACTTCCCTTTATAGCTTTTTGGGTAGTATACTGTATGTCTTACTCTGTCAGGATCATCTTCCATCTCGTTATTCTCCCAGAAAGAGCAGGCTTTTCGAAGATGTACTTTATCGGATCCATCTTAGATATCAACAAGGTAGTATGAGTCAACATATACTGTCTTAGCCGGCGAGCAGCCCATGCCAGAGCGCAGCAAGTTTTCTCGAGCAGTGAATATCCGGTTTCACAGTCGGTAAACTTTTTGCTCAAGTAATAAATAGCGTGCTCTTTTCGGCCAGACTCGTCATGCTGCCCCAATACACACCCCATCGAGTTTTCTAAAACAGTCAGATACATGATCAATGGTCTTCCCTCGACTGGTGGCATCAATACGGGAGGTTCTTGTAAATATTCTTTGATTTTTTCAAAATCAACTTGGCATTCATCATTCCATTTGACTACTTGATATTTCTTCAATAGTTTGAAGATTGGCTCACAAGTAGCTGTTAGGTGAGAAATGAATCTGGCAATATAGTTCAAGCATCCTAAGAATCCTATGACTTCCTTCTCAGTACGAGGAGCAGGCATCTCTTGTATTTCCTTAACTTTGGCAGGATCTACCTCAATACCTTTGTTACTGACGACAAAGCCTAGGAGTTTATCGGACCGTACTCCAAATGTGCACTTGTTTGGGTTCAACCTCAGCTTGTACTTCTTTAGTCTCTCAAACAACTTTTGTAAGTGATCAAGGTGCTCTTCTTCCATTTGCGATCTGGCTATCATATCGTCTACGTAGACCTCTATTTCATGATGTATCATGTCGTGAAATAAGGCTACCATGGCGCGTTGATAGGTTGCCCCAACATTCTTCAATCCGAATGACATTACCTTGTAGCAGAATGTGCCCCACTGTGTGACAAATGTTTTTTTCCATGTCCTCAGGTGCCATTTTGATTTGGTTATAACCTGAGAATCCGTCCATGAAGGAAAACACTTTGTGTTGTGCCGTATTGTCAACCAGGATATCAATGTGGGGGAGTGGAAAATCATCTTTAGGGCTCGCCCTATTCAAATCTCTGTAATCCACACACATTCGTACTTTCCATCTTTTTTAGGTACGGGAACAATGTTGGCAACCCATTGAGGGTAGGAAGTGACAGCCAAGAATCCAGCATTGAATTGCTTCATGACCTCCGCTTTAATCTTTTCTGACATATCAGGTCTCATGTGGCGGACCTTTTGTTTTACTGGCGGGCAATCTTCTCTTGTAGGCAGACGATGTACCATGATGTCTATATCAAGTCCCAGCATGTCTTCATATGACCAGGCAAAGACTTCGAAATAATCATGCAACAGCTGAATCAGACGCTCCTTGACACTGGGTTCCAGATTGGCACCCACCTTGACCTCTTTTTTATCCTCCTCGGTACCCAGGTTAATTGTATCCACAGGTTCCTCGTGAGGATGAATGGTTCTTTCCTCTTGTTGTAGCAGTCTGGCAAGTTCCCCTGGTACTTCATAATCTTCCCCACCTTTGTCTTCGACTTGGTAGATTAGATCCTCAGAGTCACAAAAGGCCATAGAAGTATCGTTACCCATGGGATCCATAATGGATGCGTTTGTAAAAATAAACTGTAAAAGAAAACTGTAAAAGAAAAACAATGAGCGGAGATCTTGAATGGAGTTTGAGTGAGTTTTGAGAAGGCCTGAGGATTTCTTTAGCTTGCCTGGACCTCCCTGAGTGTGTTCCAATCCTTACCTTGCCTTGAAAGTGCCTGAATCTCCCTACCCAAGTCAACCTGCAAGCTTGAAATACAAAAATGGCAGATGGAGAAGGAGGTGTTACAGTGAAGGGGATGATGTTCTGCAACACTTAGATATGATGTAGGTTAAGTGTTTAGGTGATTAGAACTTGAGACACATGAGTAGATTTTGAGATTGCTATGCTTGATGCAAAACTGCAAGTTATAGCAGGTTTTTGGTGATATAGAGTTTGGGAGAGGTTCTGAGCTTTTGCAATCATGTTCTAAGTCACAATATGTTTGTGTATAAGTATAAAAAAGGTTAGGTCTCAAGCTTTCTCAAGATTTCTGAGTTATATACTTTTTGCTCTATTGCTTGCTTTTGAAGAAAAGTAAGGAGACAACTCTTTACATGCTTGTACAAGCCTGGGATGAGTTGGTACAGGTCTTAGCCACTTTAATTTTGGTTTATAGGGATTGTGTGTGCAGAAAGAACAGGTGCAAAGCTCAAGGAGTTAACAAAATGCAAAAGTTGTGCTTTACTAAAATGGAAATGGCAACTTTGTGCCATTTATGGAATTAAAGCTTGGCCAAAGGCTCTCATGCTTGGATTAAAGCTTTATCAAATGTGTAAGAATTTAATTATGGATTGAGAAACAAGTTTGAGACCTGAAAAGCAAGGATTATGCAGCCTAGGTTTGGATTTGAATTTTGTTCTTCATGAAATGTCTTGAAATCAAAGTGAGAAATTGCCAACTTCCTCTCTTCGATTCTCCCTACTCAAGAATGATCTCAAGGAGTTCTTGGACATTTTGGAAAGCTTACAACGTGCTATATAAATCATCTTTGAATTTCTTTCCAAGATTCCTCTTGGAACTAGGTGAAAAGTTGCCATGAAGTTAGGTCAAAAACCTGCCTAAATTAGGGCAAAATTTCACTAAGTTATTTTAGTTCATGAGCATGTATTCACAAAATTATATCTTGAGATCCAAGCATCTTTAGGAGAAATTGTGTGAAGTAAAGTTTTAGATTTCATGGAGATCTACAACTTTCATATTTGGAACTTTCTTTGAATCCTCTTGTATCATGGTGAGAATTTGGTTTAAAGTTGAGAAAAAATAAGAAATTTTCTATACTTAGAAAAATTTCTAAGTTAAGAAAATTTCAAATTTCAAAACAAAATCTTCAATCTTTGATTCCTTGATGAACAAGTTTCACATTTTGACATGTTCTGATGAATTGTGATCCTTGGTATTTGATTTTGACCAAAAAGTCAAAGTTTGACTTTTCAGTATACAGTTGACTTTTGATCAGTTGATTGAAAAATTCATCTGTCAATCCAATGGATTTGCAATGTTTTGAACCATGTCATTAGGTTAAGATGATGCAATTGAACTCTTGAAATCATGCTTCAAACTAAATGGTCATTTGCTAGGTCAAAAATCAGAAATTGCCCTTTCTCAGTAAAAACCCTAATTTTGACCATTTTGCCCTTTTGATGATTTGATCAAATTTCTTGAGGAATTGTGGTCCAAACTTGATCAAATGATACATGTGAGTCTAAAATGTTGATGTGGATCAAAAATTATGAAGTTTGACTGTAAATTAGCCATGGTTGACTTTTTCCCCAATACAACTGATTTTTAGGTCAACTGTCCAATTGACTGATCAAAAATGTGATTCAAGGCTTGTAACTTGACATGAATAATCTTAGGGGTCCATAATGATACTTGAAAGTCATATGAAGCATTTATAGTCCAAAAATCTTTGTTCAATCCCAAACCCTGATTTTGGGTTATCATTGCATGATGAAATGCCTTGAGCTGGTCAAACCCTAATCTAGTCTTGGGTTAAAGAGATCTTGTGAGAAAAATCTTGATAAATGAGAGGGTAAATTTTGGGGTACAACATCACCCAATCGTCAATATTTATTGCATTCTTCAATTGATCAATCAGTGGAAACCAACTCTTCAAATCTTTTATCTTTCGCCGATCTAACAACACGCTTTTGGGCCATCATAGTCATCGTTGTCGCTAGCATTACCTTAAAGGTAGTAATTAGTTTAAGTAGGATCAGAACCAGACTCACCTGTTGTTTCTTCAACCTCCTCATCGTAATCACTCTCTTCATCTTCAGAAACGTTACTAGCCTGGGTCCGGAATCTCGAAGCCATTTTCGTCAATAATTTTAAGTGGCATTAAAGGTCGTTTGGAAGCTAGGGTTTCAGCGCAAGAAGTTTCTTATCAGGAAAGTTGTAATAGCGCCGGTTGATGAACTATTCTAGTTGTCGATGAAAGTGAAGTAGAGGTGTGCGGATGATAGCAGGTTAAGAATAAAAAGGTAAATGTTTTCATTTTTCTGTTTTCACTTCAATTCCTAATTTGGATATTACAGGGTTGCTATTAACATGGTTACTAATGTGATTTTCTGCATCGGTTTGGATATGAGATTCCACTGTCATTTAGCAGATTGAAATCCATTGGAAAAAAATCATAATCGACGGGGAAGTTGGGATCCAAGTAGAGAACAATAAAAGGATAAATGTTAACAGTAAAAGGAGCTCCGTTGTCATTCAAGAACTTGACTATATATAACATGAGGTTGTTGATAATCGACCTGAAATCACTGTCAAATGGGTTATTTATTGAGATTCATACACATCTGTGTTTAATGGGACGGTAACTTTGACTCGAGTACTCAAAGTGGCTTTTGTAAGAGTTGCCTGGATGTTTTGCAAAGCTGGGAGTTTATGAGGTTTACACATATATTCTCTATAGGTTCTGTTTAGTGGTGTTTTAACAGGTTAGAGTTTTGGTTTAACATAAACAGGTTAATGGTTTAGTTTAGTTATGCAGGTTCTAAGGTTTTGTTTAACATAGTTTGAGCAATTTTTTTAGAGAAAATTTGTTAATAGGTTAGGCATCTTGTTAACAGGTTAGGAATTTTTAAAACTCAACCTCTAGTTTTCTAGTTATGTTAATATGTTGTAACATATATGTAGCAAATATTCTGTTTTTATTATAACAGGTTGCAAAACAGTGATTCAGGCATACAATTATCATGTAAGTAAATCTAGCAAACATGGATGTACATGTGAAAGAGTTGTGCAAAAGTAATAGAGAGGAAGAAAATACCTATCGGAGCCTCTCCGATGGAGCTTCAAAAAAAGTAAGTTCTCTCTTTCCTGTTTTGTCTCTCTTTGAATTCTCTGTATTTTCCTGCTATATTTTCTTTGTATGTGTTTTCTGATTTTCTTCCCTACTGAGTTTTTGTTGTTCTTCTCCTTTGAATTTTCTGTGTGTGAATTTTTCTATTATTCACTTGTTGAGATTTTATTGTGGTTCCCTCTGAATTTTTCTCTCTGTATGTATTTTCTGATTTTTATTCCTTGAGTTTTTCTTCTCTCAATGTTCCTCTTCTGATTCTTAGTGTGATTCTTGAACAAGTTTTTCTCCTTTTTCTGTTGATAGAGGCCTTTATTTATAGTGAAATATGTGGGGGGGGGGGGGGAGGGTGGGGGGGGGGGGGGGGTTGGGGGATAGTAGAGATTTGAATTGTTTTGGGCTCTATTTTGATGTTTTATGAGACAACTTTTTGATGTATGCATTTTAGTGCAATGTTTAGAGTTTTATAGAATATTTTTTGAACACGTTTTGTAGCAGCAAAGGTGCAGGTTTTTTGTCTTATGGGCTGCATTTTGGACTGTCTTTGGAGGGCAGATTAGGACTGATATGCTGCATTTCTTTTGACAGCAAAATATCACAAAAATGGACTGGTTTGTGTTGAAACTAGGCTGGAGAAAATGAACAACATTGAGACTATTTTCTACTGCTGTTTTTGGACAGCAAAATACCCAAGAATTGGAGTGTTATTGTATTAAAATAGTGCTGGAAAAATGGGCAGCATTGGGGCTGCTATTGGAGCAAGAAATAATAGCTTGATTTTCATGTACAAACTTTAATTTCTTTTGTAACTTTGTAATAATAATCCAAATAAATTGTAACAAGAATGGGTATTTATTCTTCAATATAAATCTCAATTCCCTTGTAATTATAAACAACTTTGAAACTTGATATGTCTTGATAAAATTCCAAGTCTTCCATTTGAATTTGGGAAATAATTGAATAATACTTGGATGAATTGTTGAATGATGAATAAATAATAATGCAAGCCTTAAGACTTCAATCTTGCATTTTTGTAATAGAAATCCAAATAAATCCCATGAATTGATCTTGTAATAAAAATAGAAAGCATCATGTAATTAATCTTGTGATGAACGATTATTTGAATCAAATTTATTTTTCCAACATCTTCTTGAATAAATGCTTCTTGTGAATTAAAATGGTCATGATGTAAACCCACCAAAATAATCACACAAAATAATCTTGAATAAATATATAATGCGATGAACGATTATTCTTGAATGAGATCTCTTTATAGCTTCTTTTTAATTAACACTTGAATTCAAATAAATAAAATTCCAAGTATTCCGACTAAATTCTTCCAGAACGGTCTTGAATTTAATCATCCCATTTTAACGAAATTCGTCCCACGTCATGAGAAAACTTGCAGATGACTTTTGGTCGAAGTGGTTGGAATTGAATTGCATAGCTTGATTTTTCTTGTATTTCAAGGCAATGTGAAACACATGAACTAATGGCAGTAGAATTTTGACCGTTCTTTCTAAAGAATTTCAGAGACACTTGAGGCCATATGATGGAAAGAGCATGAAAATAAACGCACGATTCTCTGAAAGTTCTTTTGATGAACCAGTCTTTGAGAATCAACGATCGACTGCATTTCTGTTCTAGACTCGAAACCCTAATTGAGGCGTGACTTCTGATGCTCTTCTTTTAGACCTATTTCCTGCACATGAAATAAATAAAATAAAAAACATACACTTCGTGCTTGATTAGTGGTTAGTCATTCATAAGATAAAATGCTCACAACACTCGATAATCTCTGCACAGTCAAAGCTCGAAGGTGAAACATTCAAAACCAACCATATTTCGTGACCTTGATGTATATATAAAACAATGCAAATGAAGATGGGATCTTAGGTCAAAAATTGGGGTATGACAACTGCCCCTATTTAAGTTTCTTCTATCAGGAGATATGAAGATTAAAATCTTCGTCTCGACGCGATTGAAGGTACTTAAATACAGAATACGCAATTTTTGCCCTAAGATACCGCCATTGTGTTTATGATATGAATGTAGTATTTGAAATTTATGGAGAATGATATCGTATGAGACACAATAATGCTGGAGAAACCAAGAACGTGCTAAAATAATCCACAAGAATAGAGATTATACTCTACCGGAGAAACAAAGCCACCGACTTCGAATTATAGACTCTTATCGGGGAATAAATTTATGAGAGAACAACTTTCCGACCCTAACAAGAAGACGCCTTGCATAGGCCACGAATAATAGATGGTTATTGACCCAAGATGATGGTGAGTTTACAACTCAAGGCCAAAGGTAGGCAAAAGATATACCAACTTTTGCTGATAGTGAACTACCGACTTTTACTGAAGGTAGAGATTTCATAACAAACTTCTCTACGGGACTTTTTCGGAGAGATACCATTTGCTGCTGAAATAACATATGGTTGTAGATACACAAGCTGCTCAAATAAAGAGGCCGCAACTTGTTGTCTTCAAAAGATATCAATAATACATAAGTTGCTCGTGAAGAGCCACCGCTTGCTATTTTTTTCAAAGATAACAATAATACACAAGTTGCTCGTGAAGAGACCGCCACTTGTTGTTTTCCAAAGATGTCAATAATGCATAAGTTGCTCATGAAGAGACCGCCGCTTGTCGTTTTCCAAAGATGTCAATAACGCACAAGTTGCTCATGAAGAGACTGCTGCTTGTCGTTTTCCAAAGATATCAATAACGCACAAGTTGCTCATGAAGAGACAGCCCCTTGTTGTTACGTCGATATTCCAGAAGAATGTTATGATAACACTTCCAGGGAATAAAATTCTTCTTCAAAGGGGACCATGAATAGGTCCTTCCTGAGGAGACCAAATACTTAAATGCACAAAATAAATGCACTCTTCATCTAGGTTTCACAGCCTAGAGAAAACCACGAGGTAGCCTATACAAGAGACAAAACTCAATCCAGGAATAAATCGGAGAGAAAACAATCAAACAAGACTCCATCCAATGAGGAAGTAACTCAATTGGGGATTCATCCTATCCAGAGATGGACAAGGAAGGCTAAATCAAAATTCATCCATTAGGATTAGCTCAGTTGGGAATTAGAAAGGAGGCACATTTTCTGCCTAAGTTGACATTCTATTTGGAAAGAACAGATACGCTGTTTGAATAGACATAAACAAGGTATATGAACCCAATATCATCGACAAATGCGAATGTGCATGCATGATGCAAGTGTAAATGAATAAATGAATGTCATGTGTATGCTGACAAAATAGATAGAGTAAATAAATTGAAGATGATAAGATATCACAAAATAACTAGATACTCGGCCAATCTCAAAGAGATAGGAAAAAGGCATCGTCAGAGCGTATCATACTACAAGGCTCAAGTCTTTCTGGGGAGAAAGGTATTCAAATTCGATCTTCCAACATCAATAAACCACTGACATGATAACAAAATATACTTCAACTTCGGTTAGGGAGAAAAATATCGCTCAACTAGAGATAACCAAAATAAGGCTTAACCAAAATTATTGGGGAGTCACCAAATTTAGTACTCTACTGGAAACACAAGATTACACAACCAACACCTCATGATGATTTTGAAAGAAAACATGTTCATCATGCAAGGATGAATTACTGTATTGTTTTACATTTCGAGGCTTAACCTTTCCCGAAGCAACTTTTAATATTCCTTCCAATATTCATGACACATTTCAAGATAAGAATACTTTAATTAACTTTGTTTCAAATATTTCCATAAAAACTAAAATTTTGCCCACAAAAAGATAAATGCTCAAATTTCATTAATAAGATGGTAGTCCGCTATTGGCGCGACTCCAAAGGTTTACAAAAATTTGGAAAACAATACATGAAAGAAAAGGTTACAAAAACAATGACCACTATTTTCCCTAACAACTTTGAATTCCAAGATGTGTTCACATTGCCATAACTGGTCTGATCAAAAGCCTGCCTAAGTCAACCTTTCGGGTTTTCAACTTAGCAAGTTGTCATCTCAATCTTAGGCGAAATACTTCTTGACTGCATCGGCGTTCACAGAGCGCAGGAGCTCTTCACCATCCATATTTGTGAGAATCATGGTGCCTCCAGATAAAACCTTATTAACAACACACGGTCCTTCATAATTCGGAGCCCATTTGCGCCTAGAATCAGGTTGGAAAGATAATATATTCTTGAGCACAAGGTCACCTTCTCTGAATTCGCGTGGTTGAACCTTCTTATCAAATGCCTTCTTCATTATTTGCTGATATAGTTAACCGTGACACAACATTGTCATTCTCTTTTCTTCAATTAAATTCAACTGATCATATCTACTTTGACACCATTCAGCCTCAGAAAGTTTAGCTTCCATCAAAATTCTCATAGACGGAATCTCAACCTCCACGGGGAGTACTGCTTCCATGCCATATACTAGAGAAAATGGGGTTGCGCCTGTTGAAGTTTGAACTGAAGTGCGATACCCATGTAGAGCAAAAGGAAGCATCGCATGCCAATCTTTATAAGTTACTACCATCTTCTGGATAATCTTCTTGATATTTTTATTAGCAGCTTCAACAACGCCATTCATCTTTGGTCTGTAGGGAGAAGAATTATGGTGTTCGATCTTGAATTCTTCACACAGCTCTCTCATCATTTTGTTATTTAAATTAGGGCCATTATTAGTGATGATCTTGCTCGGGATGCCATATCGATAAATGATCTGATTCTTGATAAATCTGACTACCACCTGTCTAGTTACATTAGCATATGATGTTGCTTCCACCCATTTAGTAAAGTAATCAATGGCCACTAAGATGAAGCGATGACCATTTAAAGCTTTTGGTTCAATCATTCCAATCATATCAATGCCCCACATAGAGAAAGGCCAAGGTGAAGAGATAACATTGAGGAGGGTCGGCGGCACATGTATTTTGTCCGCATAAATTTGACACTTATGGCATTTCTTCACATATTTGCAGCAATTTGATTCCATCTTC